CGAAGCTTAGCAATTGTTCCAAGTTTGATTGTTGCTATCATTGGTGGGTCTTCTGGGGCTGGGAAGTTGATCATTATTGCGTCGGTAAGATATATACCCCCCCATGAATGCGATTGAGTTTTAACTGCCAGTCAGCATATGCATCGACAATACTTCTGTCTCTGTTTTATGCACGTTTAAAAGAAAAATGTTAGTAAATTCACTTCAAAACACACATCTTCTTGAGATCGAAGTGGTTGCGATTGGAAAACACTAAACATTGCAATAGATTTCTTATTCCATATGCCTAGGATTCGATGATGTTGCACTGCTTCTATATGTCTGCTTGGATACTGCCCAAATGTTGAAGTGTTCCATAAATCACTTTGAGAGCAATTAATTTTTCACAGATTTCACTGAGGCCCCCCAAGTTTCTTGGCGTGGTTCAATTGTTGTGTGGTTCTATTGTTGCTGAAAATTGAAGCGAAAAACATTTTTGACTCCTTGCCATCTTTTTTGGCAGATGATTTTGTCATTTGAACTCCCTTTCGCTCTCGTTCCCCTTCTGAAGTTTACAAGCAGCAAGACCAAGATGGGACCACATGTTAACTCTACCGTGGTAATTTCAACTGTTTTTTTGGTTATATAATTAGAACAAATAATTTGGATTGGAAATGGTACTTCCTATCTTTCGTTAACATCATGAAAAAGATAACACCATGAATTATCCACTAAAGTAGTTCTTACCAAATGGTGCTTGATTTTTTATCTTTGACCCATAAAAAAAAGTTACTAATACTTTAACCATTAACCATTAGCTATCTTCTGGTTAGGTCATTAGACATGAATTTGAAAGCTTTTCAGAATGGTTTGTAATTTTTCCTCAAATAATGACCAAAAATGAATGTTAATTTTAAACTTCACATTAACAATCAATGTAACATTTACACCATACTAATTGCATGAACGAATCTTTATAACCAAGGAAAGGCTACAATATATATTCTGCTTGAATGCTCTCTTACTTTTTCTTTAAGGATGAACAAATGAATGTATGGCAAAATGGTTCTCACATTTGGACAACACCAAGCTGAACATCATAGTTTCTGATCATACCATTAATTTTCGTCATTTATTTTTCGAAATGCAGATTACGGTACTGACATGGATTATCGGTTTCCTCATCATGGCTATAAACATATACTACCTTATGACCCGTTTCATCCACGTGCTTCTCCACAATGATCTCCAACTCGCAGCAGTCGTCTTCATAGGGATACTTGGATTCTCAGGCATGGCATTATATTTAGCTGGAATTGCTTACCTGGTTTTCAGAAAGACCAAGGAGATCACATATCTCCTAGCACTAACAACATCAGAAAGTCTACGACTGAGCAACGAGCCGAGTAAGACATCGGGATATAGTCTCCCAAGCGAAGATACAGTAAGCATGCAGTTACCTCAAAGAACTACCAATGATGTAAACTAACAGATTTTAGCTCAAAACTTCAGCCATAGAAGGAAGGGCAGATCCTTGGGTGCTGGTTTCATTTGTTGGAAAATAGAACAGACGGATGAAACTCAGAAGCACAGAACAATGCAAAAAAGGACGGAAAAAAAGAAAAAAAAGAAAAAGAAAAAAGCTAGATCAGCTTGCCTATACGATCATGCCTACATTCTGCCTTGCTAGTTAGCTGAGCTTTTTAGGGTTTTGGCACAACAATAATTAACTCCTTATTACTGTTGTATTTGGGTTTAAGTTTTTAACCTAACATTAGCTGATAATGGATGGTTGTTTATTAGATCATATCTGAGTTTACTGACATTAATGTGAAGTCTATTAATTAAAACATTTTCTGTGTATGAAATCATCAGAAAATTTTAGGACTTGATTGTGTGATAACGAGCCTTGTTAAAATTGAATTGAGCAAGATACGTTCACAAGGAAAAACATTTTTATCGTTAAAAAAAGGGAAATAAAATTTTCATCATACTACCAATATTTCTAGCTTCCTTAATATGTTTTTATTTTTTTAATTTTAATTTTAATTTAATTTTATGACGTTAATTATGTTGGCATTTGGAGATGTTATAATCATTTTAGTATCAAAATGTTAGTTCAACTGAGCATGGTTTAGTGGATTAAGGCACCTATGTCTGAACCGAAAAATAGTTCGAATCATTCAATCTCACATATTGTATTAAAAAAAAAATCGAAATGTTAGGGTAACTAGAATATAGTTTAGTAGTAGTTAAAATAAATGTATATTCTCCTTTTGAAAATCCAACCTAACCAAAAGAGCATATGTTATTGAACTAAAAAAGGGATAAAAATTGTAAAATAATATGTATAGATTTTTATTTTTCTTCTGATTTTAAATAATCCCACCAACTAAAATATTGAGTAACTATTAATTTACTGATTTTTCAAAAAATTCTTATATCTGGTTCTTCTCAAGCACAATCTTTTAACTTTTTCTAAAGCTGAATAACATTTTTAGTGGGGATTCGAATTAGTCGAGAATATACATTTAACGAGTTATGTTCAAGTCGGCCAAACAAATATTAACTTGATTCATTTTTATTAGAAATAATATTTTAGAAACGTGTTCCAAAAATACACCCCAAACAACTCTTTTTTTTTTCCACATTCCACTTTAACTATACTTTTTTCCTTGATTTTGTTTTTATTACTATAAAATACTTAAATATTGTGATTTGGATCACATAGAAACAGAGAGAAGAAAATGAAGAATAAGAGATTTGTTTGAACACAATTCAACCAACAAAAGTGAAGGCAATATGCATGCACTTGCAAATTTAAAATTTAAGAATAGTGGAGAATTTGCATACCATCGTACACCCACCAACCGCAGTTAATTTCTGAAATTAACCGAACTTTGGATAATATATTTAAAGGTGAGACGTCTAGATTCATACTACCCAAGAAATTGTTTTTCTAATAATTAGAAATTATTGTAACTTAAGTTAGATGATCAGTGAATTTAGGATTCATATTCCTGTTTGATTAAAAAAAATTAAAATTTATGTAATTATTTGTTCTTAGTTTGTGAGTTTAGAATATAGGTAAAAATTAGTGTAGCTTCAAATGCAAGTTTTAGATGCAATTATAATTTTATGGTATGCTTTCTATAATGGAAACACACAGGCACTGCCCATATGGACCCATCTACAAAAGATCAAACCTTTTTATGATTATAATCTGAAATGTTCTGTTAATAAAAAAAAATTTGACAATATAATTAGATTATATCTATTTTCAACTAGGGTCAAGAAAAGCCAACAAAACGAACTTAAATTTGAAGCTTCTAGGAAGCTATATAAATGCCTTATTTTCATTCTATACGAGATTTATCTGATACTAAAACTTTTGAACATTATTTATTTAGATCAAGGCCGGGTTCATTAAGATTTGGCTTATATCGTATATCGAGAATATTATGTTAGGGAACATTTTGAACCTAAGTCTTTGTGACTTTGTTTTTTGGTTTCATCAAAAAAATTTCAGTACTAATTAAAATGATACTTTATTCACATGCTCAATGGTTAAAACAATAATTTTCACGCTTAAATTAGTAAAGTTAGGGAGGAGGGAGAAAATAAGTACACAATTTTATGAAAACAGTTTTCATAGGATGTGAAGAACTACTATTATTATTATGGATTGTCTAATGAAAGTGAAATTCGCCTAATTATAGAATGAGAAAGAGTTATTTGATAGAAGAATCATAATAAAGATATAATTTTGAAAATGAGTTTGAGATATAAGCTACTAACTTTTGAAATTAAAGTGACAACATTCTTATCCTAACGAGGATATAGCTTTTGTTAATATATGTAAGAATCACATATCAGCTTAAATTTGGACAAATTCTACTTTTATCGAGTTAATTAGTAAGGTAATTGAATTTCGAGAGGTCGTCTTTGGGAAGATGCAACCTCGTACCTTTCGTAATTACGATATTTCTATCGTCATTTTACTTAATTAGGGTGCTTTTACTTAGCCTCTCTTTTAAACGTTCTTCACATATCTATTTTATGAATAGTGAAAATAGATTGAAAAAAAATATATTGGAGGCACGATGTTGGTACGACGTTTTATAAATGTCACGAAAAATGGAAAATAAAAATTCGCGAATGCAATGACGGTTAAAAACATCATAATCATATTCTTGAAGCGTCTCAAACATGCAATATATCCGCCAAACTATTTTTCTTCTCTATTTACCTTGTTGAGAAGGGATTATATTCAATTATATTTCACTAACTTTCACTTTGATATATCAAAGAGGATCCGATGTGCAACTCTTTTTATATTGTTCAATTTCATACAATATTCATCAAGAAGAATAATCAAGGTGATTTCCTTAATTGAATGGTATTAAAAAAACCATATGAATATTTTAATGCAAAAAATGATGATAAAAATTAACTATCCTTAATAAAAATAAGTGCACAAGAATTTATTATACAACACATTTGAAAGAAAAAGATTATTCCAACACAAAACAACACTTAAACATTCTAATGTTTATTTAATTAAGTTCCATGGTTTCCACCCAACAAAAGCTGTACATTATTTTTATTAGGTTTAAATTTTATTCTATATACTAAAGTTTTATGCCTATTCTATTTTAATCTTAATACTTTCGAATGTCATTTTCGAATTTTAAATTATAGACAGGATTTGTATACTTTTAAGACATATACAACAAACATTTAGTATAGAATTCGAAAAAAAAAACAGTTTTTGTTTGGGACAATATAGTTTAACAATATTCTCCTTAAAAAATATATAATTTAACAATATAGACTAGTATTTAAACCATGTTACCACTATTAAGCCATTTGATTGATATATCAAATAAAATAAAAAATAAAAACACTTTAACGGTCTGAGTATAATTCAACTGGTTTAATTACCTATCTTCCATTAAAAAATCGCAAGAGTTAAAATTCTCATTACTAGAAAAATAATAAAACATGAAAATACCTTTTTTCTTAAATTAAAAAAGGGAATGAATGAAGAGGGAGAGTACATTTAACACAATTCAACCAAAGTGGAGGCACTTGAGACATAAACTTGAGAATATCCATTTGGGGAAAGAAAAAAAAAATGTACAACTTTTTATAGTGGAGAATAAGGCCTAGAAAATGTATCCACCCATGGCTTAAGCTTAATGGCGAACACTAAATAAAAATGGGGCCAATATAATTGGAAAAATCATAAGCACTTTCTTCAAAGAAGCTTCTCCTCTCCTTCATTATTCAATCTGCCAAAACTTGCATTGTTTTGTTCTCTCATAATGGATGGCCACTTGGAAGTCAAAATAGAATAATAATACTAAGTTTCCCTTGTGGATTATATTAATGTGGTTTTTGTTCTTCTTTCTGAACCCATCTTAATTTCCAACCTTTATATATATTATGGTTGTTTATAATTAGAGGCTCGGAAAGGGGCTTACAAGTTTGATCTTACAACATTTAAGATAGGTGGCCATCATGGATTTGAATCAAATTCCCTCACTCTCAATTAATTCTAGTCCCTTTGGACCAATGATCTATGATCTAGATCATGTTTTTGAACTTTAGTTTGTGACGATTTAGTATTAAGGAGGAGAGAAGAAAGGTGTCTGGACCATGAACACCCGAAAACGAGCAAGGGATAACAGGAAGAGGATAGGAAAGATTCGATCCGGCTCAGAGAGACGACTTGAGATTCCCGAGTACTTTAGATTTTGTAATTTAGTTTGATAAGTATTAATTTCATATGTATGCATAAATAGCTACAAGGTAAAAACCTTTTAAAAAATATTTTCATTTTCTATAAAATAAAAAGCTTAACGATCAAGTTTAATTTTTTATCGACCAAGATCAGACAAATTGTTTTATAACATAGTTAATTAACATGGACGGTTTTATCAACTTTCATTTAAAAGAATAAAAAAAGAAGAGAATATTGGAATTTTTTTATCATCTATTTAAAAACAGAAAATTTAAGCTTAATATTCTCAACTTATTTTTTATAGTGAAAAAATTGGCCTACCAGAGCTGACCCACCTACCAAAGCTCAACTGGGTACTGTTTAAGAGTAAGAAAATCTAGATTTTTCTGGCACCATCCCATTTATTATTTGTCAAATTATAATATTTAAGAATGGCATAGAACTTATAAAATAAAATATTATTTAATGAAAAATTGCCTCAAAGAGAACCAATTTAATTAAAGAAAAATATTATATTATATTCCACACTGTAGGTTAATTTATCTCTTTAGTTTTAAAATTTTTATTTTTTTCTTTAAACTTAGAATTTATTAATTCTTTTTAGTTCAACAACAATATAGAGTGAGACTAACATACGTTTAGCTCGACAGTAATTTCCACCTGTCTCTGACCAAGAGATTTTGAATTCAAATTCTCATTCCCTTCTTATCTTAAAGAAGAAGAAAAAAACAACATGGGAGACAAATGAATAAAGACGTGAGAGTTGAAGAAAGTAGAGTGAAACATATACGGATTGATATATTACTTAAAAAAATATGACATGTTGTACATGTCATATTATTTGATGAGATGAAGAAATTTAACAATAATATTTTAATTAGCTAAAAAGTACGTTTAAATCAAACCAGAGTCCAGTGTAATTTAAAATTTTAAATTACACCAATGATCAAATCAAATACTCATGTCTCCTAAGTCCTGCCTCGAGTTATGCTTATATTAAGGGTCTGACGTTTGATAACATTTTTGTTTCTTGTTTCCATTTCCAATTTGTTGCAACACAAATAAAGATTTTTTTTTTTATCATTATTGAATCTATGGTGCTGAGGTCATGCATTTCTACTTTCTTTATTAAAAAATAAGAAACAAAAATAAGAAGAAAATATGCATTTTCTTTCGTGGGTATAATATTGGATCAACTGCTCAAGTCAAAAATGGCTAACACATTATTTCAAACACATTGTTTTTTTCTTTATTTGGTCAAAAAACACATCCTACCATTTGAATTTCGCATCATTTTCTTCGAAGCTTAGATTTTTTTAATTTTATTTTCATTTAATTATTTTCGAAGTAAAATTTAATCTTAAAATCTCATTTAAATTTAAATAAGCGATGAAATTGCATTATCACTTTTCAACACTTTGTAATTAAATATAGATATTCTTATAGTGGATGAGCACATATTTTAGTTGGCTTTGATTTTTGTGATGTATTTGGCATTTTTCTTTGGCCAAGTTTGAGTGTACGTTGAGTTTATTTTAATATTTATATATGTGATCGATCCAAAACTAATATTATTTTTATTGATTCGCTTTTAGGTAATTTTCTATTTTAGTTTAAGTGGGAAACGCCTAATTTCCACTATCTATTTAAGTTTAGACTTTATAATTTAATAAAATTAAAATGGACTAATTCAGTTGAGTCGTTAGAAGCTAAAAGTTTAAATCTTCAAATTTTCCGTCACTTTGACTCGGATTGTATCACAAATTTTACTAGCAAATGTCCTTTCTTGAAAAAAAGATTAATTTATTTTATTATTTTATATTATTTCAAGTATGTGTAATTTTCTTAGAAGCCGCTGACCTTTCTATATCAATATCAGTACTTTTTACCAGAGATTTTAATTTAGAGATTTCCATTTCTAGAATTTTCCAACTTTCTTTTTTTTTGTTAGTACAACAAAACTGTCAATTATAGTTGAGTTATACTCGTCTAGACAATTCTCCAGACTATTTGATTGGAGCAATTCGAGAATTTCTATGTGCATTAATTCAGGAGGATTTCTTAGAAAATTTCTTGAATAGGTGAAAAAGAAGGTAAGTAGTCCAGAATTCATATGTGAAATTAAATATATAATTAACTAAAGAATTACAATAGCTTGAATTGCAATTGATATTTCTAAATTACAAATAAAACTTTGGCATATAAAATTTTCTAACAATGCCCAAAATATTGTCTCAAAAAAAAAAAAAAGGGCAATGGGAAGCCATGGAGAGATCATTGTTGAAATTGGGAGGGAAGTGGAAGATGACCCTTCTCTTGGAGGCTCTTCACAGTTTCATAGATGCATTGTTTGATTGGTGTGAACTCCATTCCCGAGGAAGCCATGGGAAAGATTATTGTTGAAGTTGGGAGGGAAGTGGAAGATGACCCTTCTCTTGGAGGCTCTTCACAGTTTCATAGATGCATTGTTTGATTGGTGTGAACTCCATTCCCAATGACTTGAGCTTCTCAACTGTGTATTTGTAAGGCTTTTTCTTGGGATTCACCTCATCAGAGCACCTATAACACAATTTCCTCCATTATCATCAAAATGCTTCTAACAGAGATTCAACCAGGTGACACAAAATTAAATTATGAGAGCTAAAAGAAACTTACTTGGTGGGAAGAGGATATTCAGGAAAGTACTTGGCCAGAATATCAACCAATTCTCCACGATGAAGCATGCTCTCAACACAAATATATCTGCCAGAGGCCGAGGGAGTTTCATAAACCAAAACGTGGGCCTTTGCCACATCYTTAACATCAACGTAGCCTTGAACTGCATTCACATATGTCTTTGCGGATCCAGTCAAATACTTCATTATATGAACCACACTTGCRTTCACACCAGCTTGCAGCAGAGGTCCCAACACCAACATTGGATTCACCACTACTAAATCCAATCTTCTTTCTTCTGCCACTGCCCATGCTGCCTGCTCTGCAATTGTCTTTGCATAGCAATACCAATTCTGTACATAACATATATAGTTTCATGGTCAAATCAACTGGATTGTGCTAAAGGTTGTCTTATTATAATATAAGTGGACTATTTCTGAATCTAAGTTGGTTTGGAAATAGAATCTCATGAATATTAACAGTTTGACTTGTATTTTTCGAAGTTTATTCATAAAGGTTATTAGGTTACCTTGGTGTTTTTGCAAAACTCAAGGTCACTCCAACAAGACTCGTCCACCACCGTGTCGGGGCTCCGGTTGGGGTTCATGTATACGGTGCCAATCGATGACGTGAACACCACTCGTCGGACTTTTGCTTCAGCCGCTGCAGTCATGACGTTCTTAGTCCCAATTATGGCTTGCTCCACCTTTTCCTGAATGTCGAATGAAAAATTAAATTTTTCCGTAACCCATCAAATAAACTTTTTAGATTCGAGAAAAGGGATGGAATTTGTTCTTACGGGGTCATCGGTCACGGGAGACGCGGTGTGGAAAACGCCATCACAGCCCATAATGGCGGATTTGAGACTCTGAAAATCAAGAAGATCAGCACTGAACAAAGACAATCTGTCGTGAGCTCCTTCTAGATCCTTCAAATGAGCATTCTTCTCATCGTCTGGGTTTCTAACAGTTCCTCTAACAGTGTATCCCTTCTCAAGGAGGAGCTTCACCAGCCAAGAGGCGATGAAGCCGCCGGCGCCGGTGACGCACACAATCTGGCCTGAAACTACTGACGCGTCAACCGGCATGGTGAATATGAAACGGGTTTTATTTGATTTTGGGTTTGAGGAATTTGAAGAGGATTATTGAGATGCACAAAAACGAGTTGAGATTTCGGGTGCTTTTAAAGGAGAAGAATTCCACCTACCCATAGCTTTAAAAAGTGGCACATGTTCATTTAAATCTCACTAATTTAATTTGGCTCTTATATTTAATATATTTTGGGTCAAAGTTGGACTTCTCGAATCAAATCAAGCTTCCACGAATGTTCTCTCTATATCTTAATTATCTCATCATTTTGTAATTTTTATTTTACTTTATTTTTAGTACTGCGTGGTTAAGAATGGAAACTCACTACCTATTTGACATATATGTAAATTATCGTTGAACTATCTCGTTTTAATCGTGATAATTGATTAATGGTTTGCAATTCTACTATTATTTTAATTCTTAATTTAACTAATTTTGTAATTACTTGGAGTCACTTTAATTCCTGATATATCTTCGCAGGTATTTAAAAGATTTGAAGTAATAGATCAAGAATAAAATAAAATTGTATTTGGTTGATAATTTTTTTTCCATGTGAATATACCTTGACAGATCTATTTTTAAAAATTATTTTGAATTTTGTGATTGAAATATTAAAAATTCTATAAACAACATTTTTATTTTTCAGTGTTTTCAATATTATTAAAAATATTATAAACACATAAGTAAAATATTGTACTTTTTTTCTTCAGATTAATTCGAGCCTACCCCAACAATTATTAAAAAGGTTATTTAATTGAACATATTAACTAGTAACTTAACTAATCTAAAAATTTGCTCGTTTATCGTGTGACATGCTAGATATTTAATGGTTTGATTTTATAGATAGACGACGTGTTTTTTTTCTTTTTTTCCATTCCTTCCTTCCTACACACGTTTAAAATATAATTATATATCTTTTTAAAATATCAAATACAGCTGTAATTGATTATCCACTAATTTAAAAGTTTATTTTGTTTATGTAAATAATTATCGTTTCTATTATGTGTAATTTTCGTTTGTTATTATTATTATTATGATTATTTTTGAAACATTTTTTCATTCGTTATTATGGGTAGTTCATTCCTCTTTTTCAAAAAATATTATATGTAACTTGAAATTCATAGGCTCCATTGACCGAGCAGAAGGTGGAGTGTTGGTCGTTGTTTTGGGAAATTGTTCTCATTTACTTTTCGAACAAATTTGATATCGTTTAAATTTAAATCACGGTTAAAAACTTGAATAATTAAGGGGACGTTGGATAACGATTTCTATTTTAGTTATCGGTTCCTTCTATATTTTCTGGTTTTGATTTTTAGTTTTCTATTTTCGAAAAACAAAAACCATATATATTTGATAACTATTTTTTGTTTTTTTTTCTTGAAAAATAGAAAAACAAACTTGTTTGATATTTTGGTATTCTATTTGTTAAAAAGTTACGGGGATAAAAAGATGAAATAGGGTGGGATGACACCGCACCCACCCTCCCACAAAAAATTTTTAGTCATCTCCATCTCATTCCCTGATTCTTAGAATCGAGATCCTGATCGAGAAATCCTCATTTAGGACATTCAATCTAGTAATTTAATTTTAGTTATTTTCAGAATTTTTAAAATAAAAAGAATAATAATATATATAAATTATATCTATTTTGCTGAAAGCTAATTATTTACGGTCTAAATAATTAGTTTTTTAAAATATTTAATATTTTATTCTAAAATAGTTAACGAAATATATGTTAATTATTTAGAAAATAAAGTGGGATCGAGAAACATGAAGGGAAATGCATTATCTGTTCTTAGAGCGGTAACCTAATCCTGTAGAGATTCTTTTCCTCCATATCTAATATAGAGACATGAAAATAAAAATTTAGAGAGATAGAATGAAATTTTTTAAAGAGAAAGAATAGATTTAGAGGAAAAAAAGTAGTGAGAGAAAAGTTAAAACAAAATGAAAAGAGAGAGTAAAGTTGAGAGTAAAAGACAAATAACAAAAATTAAAAAGAGACAAAAATTCTAGTGAGACAAAAATTTGGACACAAAAAAGCTCAAGATAATATTTGTTAGAGAAAGAAATAATTAAAAGAAAAAAGGAAAAAAGAGCTATAATGAAAGAAAATTGAAAAAAAAGAGAGAGAAAAGTTCGAGATATATTTGTTAGAGAAAAAATAAATTAAAAAAATAAAAGAAAGTTATAAAAGCGAAATTTGAGATTGAGAAAAGTTTATAAAAATATTAAATTTTTAAAGAGAAAAAATTAGAATGACATGTTAATTAGAACAAAAATAAAGAAATCAAAATTTTGGAGATATAATAGATAGATAAAAAAATTTAGAGTGAGAAATAAATTTGTTTGACATAAATATGTCAAAAAACAAAAAAGAGAAAATTGATCATGAAAACAAAAAATAGATTTTGAAAAACCAAAATCTTCCTTTTGTAATTGACATATACCTCAAACAAAAAAGAGAAAATTGATCATGAAAACAAAAAATAGATTTTGAAAAACCAAAATCTTCCTTTTGTAATTGACATATACCTCAATCAAATCAAGAGGTTGTGAATTCGAATCCCTCCCTAATATATTGCATACGCAAATTAACACCCACCAAAAATAAGAAATGAAATGGTTATTCAAGAATAAGTTTGAAACACGAGAATAAAGTATTCGTTCTCCCGTGATAGTAATATATCCATATTGGATATCCTTAGTTTTGTTCATTAATATTTCCATGGTATGTAATAACTATATATTTTTTTAAATTATTAGAATGAGGTTGACATTATGGTCTTTTAATAAATTTAAATTGCATGTTTTTTTGGGAGTATAACATGCAGAGAGGGGATTTGAACTTAGAACCTTTAAGTTTGAGGTATATATATCAATTATCGTTGAACTAGACTTGTTTTGTCAAATTTAACTTGCGTGTTTAGCACACATACTCGGCTAAATTTGACCTGGAGTCCAACAAAAAAATTTATATATATTCTGACTAATCTCTCATCAGCCTTTTAAAATATGAATTGCTTCACTTGGTCTTCTTGGATGATTAAAAAAATTCAAGCCCTCTCTCCCTTCAAAATTTGAATGGACCCAGAGAAATTTTTTATTCATTTGGATTTGGTTTTCAATTCATGCATGGATATGGAGTAACGGTTAGAAAATAGAGTCAAAATACTGAGGATTTAGCTACATCATCAGCCGCCTTGGATGGAGAGGACAGCACGGCAGCGCGGTTGCAAAGGCAAAATCAATGGTTGCTCCAAGTTTGCATCACCGTCACTGTCTAAGGCCCTAAGCCATCCAAGTTACTTTTTGGAAACAAAGATCTCAAAGATCTTTTCTAGTTGCAACGATATTTTCATATGAAGCCTAAGTAGATATTATTGTGGTATTTAGAAGTTAAATAGTCATTGTTATGTATTTGAGAGTCTTGTAGGAGAGTGAAAGTCTTATTATAATTATTGGTGCAGTATTCCACCGAGTACCGCAGGTCGGTTATAAACTAACTAGAACGAATTGTCGAGGTGCAACGTTTAAGACAGTAGGACTTGCACGAGTAACAAACACTCCAACGTTCAAGTTAATGTGAGCATGAACTGTGTCAAGTCGTTCTTGGGGCAGAATAGCGTACCTGGAATATGGGGTGGATTGTCCCTTTTATAGGCCGGCGGAAGGGACAAAGTAGTTGGAGCCGTTGCAACCGGCATTTACGGTTGTCGGGCTAGCCCCCCAGGTTGGTGGTCAGACCTGAGGTCGGTGAAGCTTTATCATCCTTCTTAGATCGAYGGTGATCAGGTTGGCAAATAGGGATAGTCCGACTTTACCTCTTTGATGACTCCAAACTGAGCATAAACGTCCACATGTCGCTACTTAATTTTACCTCCAACAATAATGTTTACGTATCATACGAGCAACGCCCACGATTTTTCCCAAAATTGTTGACGCGTGGATGATGTGATGAAAATAGTTTAATTTGGGTTTGAGCTAGGTTTGAAAAAGAGGCTCTTAATATTGAATAATTGGGTCAATAAACTACCATGGCTTTCACACGTATGAAACTTCCACACCAGACTTTCCTCTCTTTGTTTTATATAATAGTGAAACACCGTGTTAATATAATTTTATCTCAACTTGATGATGGTGGTTGGAATTAGTACTTTTTTTAATCAACTGTTAAGTGGGTAAGATATATTAGAGGACAAAGCCTATTAAAGGGTATTTAATTGAACATATTAATTATTGTGGTGTCGTGAGCTAGATGTTCAGGGATAAAATATAGTCCTACAAAAATGTGTCTACACTCCTAGGGACAAATTCATGTTGGGTCAGGGTCACATGCCCCCAAGTATAATATAGTTTGAATATTTAATCAATAATGAAGTTTTGGTCTGTTGGCTATTGGCAACTCCATTAATATAGATCCTCTGCATAATACTAAGTTCGAGGGCATCGTGCCCTAATTTAGTCGCCGCTCTCAGGGAGCATATAGTCATAATTGATTCTCCCCAATTTTACTTTCTTCTTCAATTTTATCTTCGAAATTTCTGTATCGTTTATTGATTACTCTTTACATTATATGTAACCATCGGTTATTGTTTTGGAAATTGGATAGATTCACTAGTTTATTTTCAACTTAACACATGGATATCAAACTATTTTTTCTTATTTCCTATTCTAAAATTTTCTTTTCTTTAAATCACACGTTTTTACCTAATTGTTGTGCTCTTTGTTTTGCGTACACATTTGTCTCCTCTGTCTACCAGAACCATAGTCAAATACCATTTTGGCCAATAAAGTAATTAACCCTATATGAAATATAATATTAATAGACACCCAAATAAATTATTCCCTTTAATTTGATTTTTTGTTTCAAGTCATGCTATGGGGTCATGAGACCACCCTGCTCTAGAATTGTAATTTAACTAAAGAATAACATGCACTGAATTATATAATATTTCTAAATTACACAGGAAGTTTTTGATATGTCAACTTAAACATAGTTCAATTGATTTAGATATCTATTTTGAATCGAGAGGTCGTGAGTTTGAATCTCCACCCTTAATGTTGTACCGAAAAAAGTAATAAGCTTTAGGATATAAATTTTTTTTTGGATATATGTATATAAAAGTCGAGAGGAAGCCATGGGAAAGAGAGGAAGCCATGGGAAAGATTATTGTTGAAGTTGGGAGGGAAGTGGAAGATGACCCTTCTCTTGGAGGCTCTTCACAGTTTCATAGATGCATTGTTTGATTGGTGTGAACTCCATTCCCAATGACT